TAAGTTTTACATGTATCAAATAGGGATTTGTTTAAAAAGCAATTCATAAACAAATTAATATTTGATGATTTTTTTCAAGGAGGAAAATGAAGGTAAAATGATTTTATATTTAACAAATGGATTTTTTTATGTAAAAATACTTATAAAATTGCCCAACAATATCCTTATCTTCATTAGCATCATAGCCGGAGGAATTATGCATTTTAGTTTCCAAATGGACACTGACATGCTCATGGCATTTGCTTCAAGCCTACATAAATAAAATAAGACCAACATTTGTTCAGGAAGCAATTGGAAACAATAATTGGTGATTTCTTCTTTTTTTTTTAATGGATTTCTTTTGTTTAGAATCACAACTCAAATGAAAACATTAAATGCTTTCAAATACGAGTAAAAAAGAATCCTTATCAAGAGCAAATTTGAACCACCATGTGGTAGGAAGCACCTGAAATTCAAAGGAATTTCTTAGAGAACAAAAAAAAAACATTAATGTCAGGCATTCAAAGGTAGATAGCTTCAAGTCAACCTAGAGTCAATAGTTGAGTGCTACTAACAAAGCGACAATGGCTAACTATTCAAAGACAAGGTGGCCCAAGTTAAATCAATATGGAACCATCCAACTTATGGCGGATAGTTACTTATCCAACGCCTCGGCCACCTAAGTTGACGCCCGCAAGTACTTACCCCATCTTGCCAGATTAATCAATTGAACCAAGTATGATACTCTAGCCAAATTGCTAATGTGATCAGAAAGGTAAGTTTGTCCAAGTATGAGATATTCGAAAGGAGTACAAATAATAGCAACTCAAAAAATGAATCCAGGAAGATCTGCATGACATAATAATCCTGTATAAACTAGTTGACACCATCACAATACAAAGAAAAAAATCAAATATTATTACCTAAGAAAATCCTTCATGCCCACTCTTAAAAGACTCAAAAAGGCCAATAAAGTCAGGGTAAAGCAAGCTGAACCCCAATTTCATCTTCCTATTAACATGACCTGACTGATCAATCTGTGAAAACTCAAAATGCTTGACCCGGTGAGAATGAATAAAGTACACAAAGAATTAGATGAAATGGAGATTGATAAAGGAAAAATATTGCACTGATATAAAGACAACTCAGTCTCCACTACTCGCTAAAGGGCACACATTCAGCATGCAATGTGAGATATCAGCAACATGGAACCACACATCATATGTGATATTAAGGGAAACATGATGCATATAATACAAAGGATCATATCTATACTCCTTATCTACATCAAAAAATGAAAATCATCTTGGGACTACAAACCACGCATGTCAAAAGCAAGCATAAGTCAAGAATCTACTCCAATATATATAAATAAATGGGAGCCCTTCTTTGTGAAGTGTGCTACCCCATGTTTAAAATATATAAATAAAAAATACAGCCCTTAGGGAAAAGTTTGGACCTAAAATAATTAAAGTCCACTTTTTAGGTAAGTATGTAGCAGTTTCTAGATTGTGTGACTCCAACTTCAATAGGAATCCATATTCTTTTATCAGGAACTCCTCTATCTCACCTCTCCTTAAATTATCCGAACACGTTCACTTCATTAAACAAATATATGACTACAATTGGTCACTTTGCCAATTTCATACGACAATATTTTTTTTTTAGATTATTCTCTCGTTCATGATTCGGAGAAATCACAACGTAGAGCTACCAAATTGTATTATAAGATACAAACATATTTCTTACTGTTCAACTTCTCTTCTCTTCTCTTACAAAAAGCCCCAACCTAAGAGTCTAAGTACAAAAATAATCAACTCTATGCGTAACAAGCAAAGTATATCATAAAAGTGCTGCTTACAAAATGGTCTCAGGAAACACTTGCAAAAATAAAACAATTAGTGTAACTTAAGTAAAATAGTCTGTTATTATATTTAAATTATCATATATGCTAACTTATTTATAAGAAAAATCTGCATTGTTTATTATTGTAATCTTTTTTGCTTATTGAGAATATCGTCCTCAATTATATTTTTCTTTATATTGCTATCTTTTCTTGTCTATATATATAGCCTTAGGCACATAAATATGTGGTACTTCACAGTTCTCTCTTCCAATTAACATAAGTATCAGAGCCACAACCCTAAATACATCGCCTAACCACCTCTAAATAATGATGTACAGTGCAACATAAATATATTCATTTGTATTCCTACCCTTAGTTTAATCTAATCTCAATCAATGCTTCTAATCTTTGTCATCAGCCACTATAACACTAAGAGCTCCTTCCCTATTTTTCACAAATATGTACACTTCTATGATATTCATTCTCCAACAATGATTGCAGTGGAGATTATTTTCTCACTACAATGATACTGTCTATCAATACTCTTAAATGATAATGCATTCTGATAATACTCTTTGTCAAGGCTATAGTCATACCTTCATTCAAGGATCGTATCCATATGGCTATAACTGAACCAAAACACTTTATGAATAGTTCTTACTAAGCTAAATTAATACTCATTCAAGTTAGCGAATGAACATATTTGAACACTTTCGAAAAAACTCAAGTTTAAATGAACCAAGCATGAACTAAAATCTAACTCATTTATTTACTCCAACAAACAACTTGTTTGTTGTTCAACAAGTAAAATGTTAAAGGCTTGATATTAGGCTCGATGGTAGCTTGTATAACACTAAATTAATTTTTTTAAACATAACTTGTTTAATTATATTTTAATAGCAACCTATTATGCATTTAGTTATTAGGCTAGAATATTTTTCGTCTCTAATTTTTCACTTCTCACATATTATTTGCACTTTAATCGCTTATAATCTCCAATCTCTAGAGACTTGAGGTCGCAAAACTCGCACCTACATGAGCTCATGGTTAGGGTTGTGTTGAGATCACTAGTTTCTTATTGTACATAATGCTAATGTTGTTGTGAATTTGGTATATAGTTTACATGCCATAATAACATCATAACTAAAATTTTGTGATTGAATGTCTTAAATTTTAGGTATGCAAAAGCCACACCTCGAGATTTCAGTAATTCAAAACCTCTACTTATTATTGAGTTAATTGTCCCTACTAATGTATACCATTAAATGACATGCTAGAATGATTTTTTATCCAAAAAAATAGTATCCACAATGGCATGTTTGGTTATTTAGTTCACTTCGAATGCATGCTTTGACCCTAGAAAATAGTATGCACAATGGCCTTCTTCGTGACTTAGTTCACTTTGAATGGATGTTTTTAAAATTGAATTCAAAAGTAATGATTTGAGAAATACTATATTAAAATAACATTTTCAAAGTGAGATGATTATTCTCCCTTAATAAATTTGAATGCTTCTTATCCATATAAATATTTATGATTGTTTTTTAGCTTTTTGTTTCAAAATAGCTATTATTTTTTTAAGTATAAGTTATGAATTAAGACAACTTATTATTATTTTTTAGTCACTTGATTGTTTGAAATATGTAAACTTATTTAAAGCATGCTTGTTCAATTTTTTTAATAAACAAGCTTTTCAGCACTTGTTTACATAACATGAATTTCAGAAAGATCATTCATGAATTATTTATTATCTTGTTTGGTTGGTGTCAATTAATTGTATATTAATTTTAAATTTACTGAATTGTTTATTCATTTAGAAATTTGAATTTTTTTATTAATATGATAGTCACATGAGACTTTATTTAATAAATATTCATTTATAAGCTAGCTTAAGTATTTGTTTGATTAATTTAGGCAAGTTAAGCTCACTCATAGACAATTATAAACAACCAAAGTGCAAACATATATGTGAAACCATAGATCAAACTCAAGTCAAACTTGAACAACATATAGTATGACAGAGCCAAGTAAGATACATGGTGAACTCATCTCGGCTTGGCTCAATTAGAACCTTACTTATTCATGCCTTCTCTTACATAGATCTCATTTTTTTTCTTTTTTCATCTGATCACATTACTTACTCTTTGACAAATAACTTGTGTTCCTCTTAACAATTTCATCTATGATTACTACTATTTTCAAAATACTTATTCATAGTAGCATTATGCACTATTTTTTATAATAATATTTACTCATTACTTAGGATATTCTCCTTTTTTTAATTCTCTTACCTCTATACCTAGGCACATATATGTTTGTACTTGGAAGATGATTCAAATTTAATTTTTAACAATTATCTTTCCGCTCTACCCATAACCATTAGTATTCAATATAGGTTTTTGCAAGTACCAAAAGTTTCAGGCAATAATAGGGGAAGTCATTATAAACAAAAGAAGATACAAGGGAATAGTCCCAAATGAGGGATGAAATTACCAATCCAAGTTCCATGCCAGAGTTCACAAAATTAAGGCTTATGTTCCTCCAATCTCACCATTAAATTAAGAAAAAAAAAAGACCAAACACATAATAAAAATAAAAAATTATTTATGAAATAACAATCACAATAAAGGAGTTTGAGTACTGACTATTGATGTACTAAATTCTTATCAAAATTTTCATTCATCTATTTATTAATTTAGCCTTTTGCATCCATGGATTAAAAGATGAAGGAAGTCAAAACTTGGCATACTTCATAAATAAGAAGAGCGTCAGTCAACATTCATTGAAATATAGATAAAACCGTTCAATCATGCAGTTTGAAGAACAGGAACATGGAGCAAAATCTCGACAGCATCAGTTTAGCTTGAAGTAACAACTGCAGTAAAGACTTTTCAAAGCATAGTGTTTTTTTTCAAGAAATAGATGGAATCTGATTGCTCCTTCCATAAGGAGTGAAACAAAGTAGCAAGCTCAAAAGTCACTTTTTTCATTTTTATAAGAAAAGGAAAGCATTTAAATATGTTAAAAACACTAATGTCAGATGGCAAGAGTTTTTTGTTAACTAGCCTAGATATCCATATGTACTAACTATTCTAATCAAGGATTCAACATGCCTTGTTTGATGGAGAAAATGCATATTAAAACATTAAATATCCCTACATAAGTATATACTTACATTGCTTCCCTCGCCGCTTAAGAAAAATTTCATCCTTCTGGCTGAATTCTCACCGTTCTTGAATAAGAACGGTGACCCATTCAACACGATAGTTTCCATATTCTTCTTGGCAAGAAGCCTGCTAAAGGAAGGCAACAAGCAAATTATACAAAGAGAATAATACATGGTGCACCACTTTAAATTGATAAATAAAAAATAATAGTTAGTTTTTGCACACACAATGGCAATACTAGGGAGTTCAAACAAGTCAAGTCGAGTATTTGCCAACTCGAGCTAAGCTTGTTTAGTTCTTGTTGAGCTCCAACTCAAGCTCGACTCGTTAAAAAAACTATAGGCTCGAGCTCATTCAATAGGCTCGAGCTCATTCGAAAAGCTCAAGCTTGACTCGATTATTGAGCTCGATTTCTTAATTTTCAATTAAAATTTTCATTGTTTTGATTTTCTTTTTATTTTTAATATAGAATTCATATGAAAATATTAAAATATATCATATAATATTAATTTGAATTATATTTTAAGTTAATTGAGCGGCTCAACGAATTTTTGAGCGGAGCCAAACTAAGCTCGAGCTCGTTTGATATACGAACTCGATTATAGGCTTGAGCTCGAATTCGCAGCTCGATAAGTTCGACTCCTGAACTCGTTAACAAGTAGAGCTTGAGTCGGCCCATGAGCCAGCTCAGCTCACTTACACTAGGTAGGAATGTCAAAATGGGCTTTTGGGTCGAGTTCAAGTCCAACCTGAAATTGACACTTGCCCAAAAGAGTTGACCCTAATCCGACCCGGTTTTGCAAATGGTTCAGAAATTATGACCCAGACTCGACCAGCCAACCAAGATCTAGTTGACCCGAGCTGTGCGGGAGAGAAGGAAAGCTTGCAGGCGAGCAGCGAGGCTTGCGGGCGAGAGCACACGGGCACGTAATGTCAAACAAGGATGCTGCAACACATGCGGGTGTGGTACAAGGCTAGCAGCATGTGCGGGTGCGGGGCGCGGGACTGGGGCCAACTGGAATGTCAGAAGGGGAGGCATCCGAGTCGATCCCGGTCAATTTTGGATTTTCGAGTCAACCGGAACCCGGTTTAAAAAATGGGTCAGTATATTAAACCCGAATCCAACCCACTTCTCAAACATTTTGACCCGAACTAGGAATTTTTCGGGTTGGATCCGGTTTGGGTTTTGAGTCGGGTCAAATATTGACACCCCTAACATTAGGCACAACTAAAGGTGTCAAAATAGGTTTTCATATAATGCTTGGGTCCAACCCGAAGCCCGACCCGAAATTGACCCACATTTAATTGATCCAACCTAAACCCAACCCGATTGAACAAATAGGTCAGAAATTCAGACACAGACTCGACCCGTCGGGTTATCGGGTTGACTTGAACAGACCCCCTAACTCGCGTGTGCAAGCAATAGGCGAGTGTCAAGGGCAATGCGGGCGAGACTATGCGACTTTGACCTTGGGCGGGACCATGCGATGAGAGCCCGGGCAAGCAGCCGAGTGGGCAAGGGGGCGAGCAGCCCGACTACGCAAGCATCGGTGCGAGGCTGCAAGCTTAAGCACGAGCATGGATTATGGTGCGGATTGCAAGCGTGAAGCGGTGTAGGACGCGGGCATGATGCAATTGCAAGATACAAAGGGCAACGTAGGCAAGTGGCAAGCGTGACACTGTGCGGGGACACTGGTCAAATTCGGGTCATTTTCGGCCTTTCGGGTTAGTGGATTGACTCAAACACGACCCAATTTTTCAAACGGGTTAGGCATTAGGACCTGAACCCGACTAGTTTGTTTAACAGGTCAAGTTGGTCAAGTTGAGGCCGAATTTTTTGGGACGGGTTTTTCATGGCGTGCCATTAATTGACACCCCTAGGCAAAACCATTAACATCGGGTAGCTCTAGCCCTCCCTAAATATGGATTAAGGTTTTTTGCAAATATATACATTATAAACCTTAGTTAATAAAACAAGTAATAGCTATATATAATATGGTATATTCTCCTCCCTTCAATTTCAAATAAATCACTTTGCCCTCTTCCCTTCATGAGCATTTTATCATCAATCAGAAGCAAAAACATTTTCCCAATGCATGGCTTTCATTGTATGAGAAGATAATCACAACATTTTAAGTATAGAAACTTTAAAATGGCGCATGATTAAGCACATGGGTTGTTGATATGAATAAGTGCGCACATGATGTTTTTTAACTAGTAAAATGCATATATAAATTAGACTTTTGAGTGAACTTTTATATGGTTTTCAATTATCTTTTTTTTTTTCAAATGATTGATAAATAATAATTATCTTTTTTTTTTATTGTGAAGATGAATGAAATTTGATTGACATATATTTTCGTGCTGTGTCTGTGTTATCTTCAACTTGGAGAACATAAAAGGCAGTAGACATAAAAAAAATGAAACGGAAAGTTTCCGCTTCTAACAGTCAACCGTCGGTTACTCATTGAAATCAGGCATATACATCACCTTAAAATATCTGGCCGATCCCTTGCAAACCCTAGACAAGCCTCAGCAGCTTTCAAAAACTTCTCCGGTAAATTCTCCTCCACAGAGAACGAGTCATCGTCATCACCAGAAGCCATGCACCGATCTGAGTAACCTTTCTCTACCAATAGATCCGCAAGCTTTGACCACTCCGGCCATGGATGCGAATTCTTCGAGTCAGAGAACAAGGTCGCTGCCTCGCCGCATCCTTCGTTGATAACTGCTTCCGAGTGGAACTGATTTATTGCTCCGCTCCAAAATCCGAGCTTTGGGCGATTAAAGACAGAATGAATGCGGCCATGAAAGACTGACGCGTAAGAAAATGCGGCGAAAGTAGGGTTGTCGAAAGTAGGGCGAGAGTAGCGAGCAAGGCGAAAGACGAAGGAAGGGCGGAGGGGAAAGGAGGTAGAGAGTAGAGCAATAAGCTTAGATCCGACGGGCATCGGAAGGTAGAAAGGCGGACGCCGGCTTTTTGCCGAGAAGGATGGCTAAACCCTAGGAGGTTCGAGGGTTTAGAAGAAGGGTTTATCAGAAAGAAATTGTAAACGAGATTTGAGAAGGATAGAACGAAGGTTACCTTGCGAGTTTTGAGAAAGAATGGTAGAACTATTGGTTTACCTAGCAAGTCACATGTTGATTGGTTCAGACCTGACACGAATATCACCCATTAGCTGGCTTCAATCGAGCTGCAAATGAATCAAGTGAGACTCCACCCTTATGGGCTGTTTGATTGCCTGAAAAAGAAAAACAATGTAAAATAAATATTTTGAAATTATTCGAATGTGTGTAAAAGTAATATCAAGTGTAAAAAAATTGTGCCCGAATAGCTGTTAATGGCCCATGCACTGTGGTTGGCGTTGGAGGGTGGAGGTGGTGGCGGCGGCGGCCAGTGGTTGTGGCGGTGGTGGAACAGCCACTGGTGAGCGACGGGCGGCCAACGGTGGCAGTGATGGGCAACGGTTATGGCAGTGGTAGCTGGTGAAGGGTGGTGACAGGCGGCAATAGCTAGTGATGGGCGGTGGTTGGGCGGTTGTGGGCGGTGTCGAGCAGTGGTGGGCAGTCAGGGCAACTAGTATCATGGCGACTGGCGATGGAAAGTGGTTCTGGTGGGTGGTGATCAGTCGTGGGTGGTCCAAGGTGGCAGTGAAAGTGATAATTTTTGAAGTTGGTAGTTGATGGTGACGATGGTTGTCGGTGACAATAGTTAGTGGTGCTCATTGGTGGCAACGACTGCAAAATACAAGAGCACCTTCCCCCCCCCCCCCCCAGAGCCCCCCCCCCCCCCCCCTGCGGGTTGTGAAGAATGATGGCTTATTTATAGGTTTTCGAGAGTGGCATGCTTCATAAATATGAAAAAAAAAAACTTTGACGAATTAGGAATGCTCTATCAGATTGTCTGTATTGATTCATTTGATCATAGAGTTTTCATGCATCACGCATTTAAGTACATTAATGATGTTATAATGAGATGATCTTGGGCTCATTGGATTTGACTCGTCGATCCGCTCGTTTCGACTATAAATATATCATATATGGAAACCATTTGGTTACTAAATTAATGCTTGTAAACTTCCACATATGCTTCAGCTGCTTTAATTGAACCCATTTGGACTTGGATTTGATCGATTTTGGTGTCATCGGGTTTGTCTTGTCGAAATATTCTATTTGACTATAAACTTGCTAAGATTAGTGCTTGGATGGTTGTAAATTGAATTTTGAAGGTTTCTAATTCAAACATGTCTCAATATTCGTGCCCCATCAAGATGATTTTTAATGATGTATAATTAGTTAATATTTTTATGAATAATAAAATTAAAAATTTATTTTATTCATCTAACTAGTCATTTAATACATTAATTAAAACATCAATTAAAATTTAAGTTGGAATTTTAACGATTTCATCTAGTAGTTCACTATTTCTTTAACATTTCTATTCTCTAAAAGTGATTAAAAATAAACTATTAGGTCTCTAATTATTTAAACAACAACAGCATAAAAATTCTCATGCCCTAACATAATGATATTAATAATTTAATATAGGGAATGAAAAAAAAAAAAAAAATAATATAGGCAATGTAGATACTATGGGATGTACACTAGGAGCTTGCGCGGCATGGGTCCCCACCCCACTAGCCTAACATTTAAATATATATTTAATTATGCATTAAATCTAAACCTAATCTATTTTGCTTCCCCTCCATGCTTAAATTATTTATGCTTATTATGCCGACGCCTTGGTAATTACTTAGCATTGTTCGTAACTTTAGGTATAGTCTCTCTCTCTCATCGGGCAAATTATTGGATCAGGTGATCGGAGGCGGAAAATAAGTTCGGACATTCAATAAAAATTTGCCGCGTCACCTGCGCTTTTGACTGTGCTTTTGACTTTCGCTTTTGTTGCGCTTTACCCGCGCTTTACATGCGTTTTACTTGTGCTTTAATTGCGCTTTACTTGCGCTTTATCTGCGCTTTACCTGCGCTTAATTCAAAATAATATTTTATTAATATCCGGACCTATCCCTGCGTCCGATAACTGGATGCAATAATTTGCCCTCCAACTGACCATCGATTTCAGCTACTTCTCTCCTCTCTCTCCCCCTCTTTCTATCTCCCTTTCTCTCTCGTCCCATCTGTCTCTTTTATCTTTCCATGTCTCACTCCCCTCTTTTATGATTAAGTTTACATTATTTTTGAAATATCAAAATAATTTTCATATGAAGTTTATGAATGTGACAAATAAATTGGAGCCACATGTGTTGCTGAGACTATTGCAATCTTCAGTACAAGTTAATAAATTCATATTATGATGGCCAATTTATTATTTATTAATATATTAAATATAAATAAACTTCATGTTTCAATAAGATTATTACGTGTTAGAAAATTTGAGTTGATAGAGTGTATATTTTACGCCTCTGCGTTGTATAAAGATTCAACACGTACAAATGAAAATAACAAGACAAAAGAGTTTTTAACGTGAAAAGCCCGAAAAGCCCCCAGTGTACATCCCCTAGTATCTACATTGGATTTGTTTTGTTGAGCCACTCGATTCGACTATAAGCATATCATATTTGAAGATTATTTGATTACTTAATTAATGTTTTGAAGCTTCCAAATATGCTTCAATCATTTGATTTGATCTCAATTGGACTCGGATTGGACAAATTTTGGTGTCATTGAGTTTTTCTTGCTAAGACGTTCAATTTGACTATAAGTTTTCTGAAATCAGAATTTGGATGGTCTGAAATTTAATTTTGAAAATTTTCTATTCAAATATGCCTCAAAGATTAGTGTTTGATGGAGATAATTTTTTATGACATATCAAAGATCAAATCAAATTTATTAACCAGACGACGGCCCTTCTCCCTTGGCTCGGACGAGATCCTCTCTTCGCCTCTCCGTTTGGCGCTTTGCTGTCGCCGGTGCGGCTCCGCCCTAGCGCCTTTTCGGTTCGTGGATTCCGGCCGCCCGCCGTCTCTCCGCCTATTTGACTCATTTTTGGGTATTTTCTCACCCTTCTCTTTGGTTTCTTGAGTTATTTGTGCTCATGGCCGGTAAAAGATTAGTTGATCCGGGTTTTTTGGATGGTAACACCTCTTCTAGATCTTTCCGTAAGGCTTTATCTGGCATTTCTTCCTCTTTTCCTGACCTGAAAATCTGTACTTTTCGTGGTTTGCCCTCTTTGTGGATTTCAGAGGCCGAAATTTTTGCACTTGCTAAGCCTTTTGATTTCGCTTTGGTTGGGAAATTTCCTAACCATCGTCCATCCCTCGAAGCTATTCGCAAATTTTTTTTCAACCTTAAGCTCATCGGTGATTTTTCTGTAACTGTTCTTAATCCAAAGAATGTTTTAATCAAGCTTGTGAACGATTTGGATTATTGTCGTGTCTTTGCTCACCGCTCCTATTTTATCAATAATTGTTACATGAGGTTGATTAAGTGGTCGCCTTCGTTTGATGTTAATGTTGAGTCGCCTATTATTCCGATTTGGGTGTCTTTTCCAAATCTGAGACCTCATCTTTTTTCGCCTAGGATTCTTCATGGCCTTGGGTCTATTTTTGGCCGCCCCCTTAAAATTGATCATGCCACCTCCTCTGGTTCTAGACCTTCGGTTGCTCGTGTGCTGGTGGAATTAGATGTTTCCAAACATTTTCCCGATAAAGTGTGGGTTGGTCCAGATAACTTGGGTTTTATCCAGGCTGTGGTTATGGAGGATTTACCGCCGTATTGCTCTCACTGTAAATCTTTGGGACATTCAAATTTGGAATGTCATTTCTTGCACCCACATTTGGTTGCTCGTCCTAATGTGGGTGTTGAGCCTGTCATTAATGGTAACAATTTACCCTTAAGTAGTAAGCATGTTCAGACCGTTTCTAGTGAACCTTTGCTTACTGGTGGGGAGGGCCTTTCGGTTGTGCCTTCAACTGATGAATTGTGTGATCCTGCTGAGCAAGTTACTAATGGGATTGATGGGTCTTTGACTGTTGCCTTGTCGTTAGCTCATTACTGTGACAATAATGTGGATAAAGTTGCGGCTTGTGAAGCTCTTAAGGATGGTTTTAATGAGAACGTTGTTGAGGCTTGTGTGGTGAATGCTATGTCCGGTGTTCAAGTTGGTAATCTTATGGGTGCTGCTACTGTTTTATCCCCTGGCGGGAAGCCAGATTTGAATGCCCCTGTTCTATCTAGGGAGGATAATGTTGTGCTAGATGCTGGTGTGTGTTCAGATGTTGCTGATACTGTTTTGTCACCTAATGCTACTCCTTTTATTCCCTCGTGTGTGGTGGACGATTTTGGTCATACGGTTGTGATTGAGGCTTTGCCGGCTGTTGATCTGGTGCCGATTGGTTCTGAGATTTTGGTTTCTACTCCTGCTATTGTTGCGCCTGTCTCTGCTGCGTGTGGTAGGGGGCCTGGTGGGTTGGTTGATGGTGATTCGCCTGTTTTAGGTGTTGTGGGTGATTCTGTTCAGCTTCAGAATAGTGCTATGAATGTGGATACAAATGTGTGTGGACA